GGGGGGGCTGCAGATAACAACAAGCACCAAGCACAGCACAAACCGCACACGGTCAGCACGCGCTGGCCGCGAGGAGTATGAGGCAGGATAGGATTAGATTGTCCTGTATGCATTCGACTGGGATGGGGAGTTAAAATGCACGAACTTGTCCTGTTCACATTACTAGTCGCGACATCGCTCTACGACCCTTTTCCCTCGCTCTTTACTGCTCTTTGCCTCCATCGACTACGTATTGTGCTCAGTTTTCGACCCTTCGCTTCAGCTCACCGCCCGGCTTTACTTCTTTACACTAAATGTCCCCGCACTAAACGCGTTGTGGGGAAGTTCGCCTCGGCCGAGGACGTTTCGCAGAAACTGGTATCATTCACGAGGGTCCACAATGGTTCACGATGGTTCGTCCCTTCCATTAACAATTGATCATATGGAGCAGTAAAGGGGGCGGGAAAACTCGAGTGACAACGACTTCTGTCTCGCTTCGCCACTCTTCTACACTCTTCCCACCACCGACAGGCGCCCGTGACTGCGCGGGTAGGCAACCCGCTCTACCTCGCTGTAGGAACGGAGAGCTGCATTGTGGCGCCGTCTCACTCACTGCGGCTGCGGACGTTAGCTGGGACGTCCCTGACACGGCCACAGGCAAGCTTTATCAGAACCGACTGTAGAAAAAAGTTGGCTCGCCCCTCTCCCCCACACCCCATCCCAAAAAGTACTGCCCGACCTAGGTTTTGTCCGCCCTAATTTTCATGGACCTATTTTTCTCCGACGTCGTCGCGATATGCTGAGATTTGGAAAGAATGTGCTTCAAAGGCGAACAGCCTTCAGAGGCCATAAAGGGGTACTTGAAGTGCAGTGAGGGAAAGACCGGGCCCGGCCACCGCGGGGAGGAGGGTGAAGCTGCAGTCGCAGGTCAGAATCTCTTAGTTTTTATAGATAAATTTTGGATCTCTAAATCATTTTTTACGAGTTTTTACTGGGATGTTGGAGGATTTATAATAAACTCACAACACACTCTTGGTTGAGCTCTTTTGGTGAGTTACCAGTTTCATGGAATGTTATCCGCTGGCCCGTGTTATAAATTCACCTCATATCACAAAGCTGCAGCAAGTTTCACTCTAGCTTATTGTGAAATTTAATGAAGTGTAGGCTTTTATTTGTGTCGACAGAACTATTTGGGTGAAATTTTCAAACACAGTATTTTGGAAGGGTTGTAATTCTAGGCCGTTGAACTATGCCCAAAACGAAAATACTGATACTGTTTATACCACATTCTTTATTTCACATCGCGCTGACGGTCGATTAACATTTCGTGTGAAACACCCACTTCAAACCGGTCGTTTTATTCTAGTTTCTTATTAAAGTGATGTCTATACTACGGCCTCAACTGCCAGATGTTCTATAAAGATACATAATATGTAGAAGATGTACGGCGATTGATGATTACAAAAAAATAATAAAAAAAAACACGATAATACATGTAAATAAGCGAAATTGGCTTTGATGACTAGTTCCTGTCGCCACGATGAGTCTGCCGCACCTGAAACCGACAAAACTTTTTTCAATAAACCCAAAGAATTTTGCAAACCCGGTTCACCACCGACCACCGGCACGTGTCCCGCAAAGAAGCGAGCACAGAAAATGGGCTGTCGTGAGCTTACCGGGGCTGCTCGGTTGAGTAGGCGACAGAGTAGGAATGGCCTCACTCGAGGGATGGCCACCCTCGGCGGCGACGGGGCCACTAAGGGTACGGCCCTGCAGGGGCGGCGGAGAGGCCACTCACAAACTGCGTCGGGATCTCCAACGGCGTGGTCACAGGAGAGGGCGGCACAAGGGGCGCGTCCGCAGTCGCCGCAGTCGCCGCTGACGCCGAGGTCGAGAAGGGCGAGTAGCCGGAGGCCTCCAACGGGCTCGTCGGGGCGAACGAACTGGCCGGCGCCGCGGCGGGAGCGGCTGCCGCCCCACCGGCGGGCATCGAGTACGAGTACTGGTATTGATACTGATACTGCTGGGGCGCTGGCAGCGGCAAGGGCGCGGGCGGCGGCGGTGGAGCTGCAGCGGCGGGGGCGGGGCCGGCCGAGGGTTGGCTAGGCGAGAAACCAGCAGGAGGGCCGTAGCGTTCCGCAGGCACATAGTTGGGGGTGGGGGCGAAGGCTGGCGGAAGGACAACGGGGGCGGAAACTACAACAGGATCAGGAAGGGGTAACGGAGATGGCGCAGGAGGCGGTGGGACTGGCGATGCCAGCGACTGCTGCTGGATCTGCGGGGGGCCGTACTGGGGATCAGGAACAGGGGCTGGGGCGAATGCTGGGGACAGCGACTGCTGTTGGATCTGCGGGGGCCCGTACTGGGAGTCGGGAAGGGGGGCAGGAGCAGGGGCGGGAGCGAACGCGGGGGACAGCGACTGCTGCTGGATCTGCGGGGGCCCGTACTGGGGGTCGGGAACTGGGGCGGGGGCGAATGCTGGGGACAGCGACTGCTGTTGGATCTGCGGGGGCCCGTACTGGGGGTCGGGAACGGGGGCGGGAGCGAACGCGGGGGACAGCGACTGCTGCTGGATCTGTGGGGGTCCGTACTGGGGGTCAGGCGTTGGCGCAGGAAGGGGTAACGGCAAAGGAGGAGGAGGAGGTGGGGGTGCAGACTGGACCTGAGGCGGCCCGTACTGGGGATAGGGAATGGGGGCGGGAGCGAATGCCGGGGAAAGCGACTGCTGCTGGACCTGCGGAGGTCCGTACTGAGGGTCGGGGATGGGGGCGGGAGCGAATGC